GAGAGTGATTGTTTTCTTATATATATTGGACAGACCATATGCATTCAAGAACATCTCGTTGAAAAAGTGTGTTGAATTTCCGCTTCTCTAATTCCCTATTTGTTACACAATGTTGTAGGCAACCCCTGAATCAAGACTTCAGGGTTCCTGTAGGTTTCTTACGAAATATCTTTTACGGTAACGTATTATCCAGTGCCCTCATTATGATTACTACACAACTAACCCTACCCTTAGTCACCATTGTTTATCCTTTGTCCGCCCATAACATTATTTGTTTTTTGTCAATAAACTTCATCGATCTTTTATATAATTAATATGCCACATACAAATGAGTTAAATGAGTAGTCAAAGATATTATTGCCTCGTATTTGACTGCAGGCCTGGCTTTCGCTTTCATATAGGCATAAATTCAATTGTTTTTTTATTGATACTTCTAAGTAATTGCAATTATCCATTGTTGTTAGCTCACTAAAAGTTTCTATCCTATGTTACAATCACTAGCAATTTAAAAATGTAAACATTGCGAATACTTCTTCAAGTAATTGGTAACTTCATATAGATCATGACCAAATTCCGTATTACTGCTGCTTTTTATAAAATGATGTGCTCATCTAAACGCTTGCATCATGTATTATAACATTTAGAGTGACCCCAACTTAAATCCACATTATTTCTCCTTAGTCTTGATTCTACAGTTCTACGACAGGAAATCTCCGAACTGATTGAATTACTACCGGCTTGGCCCATGGTTTGCCTCCCTTGTCCAGCGGGAACTGCACCCAGCCAACCCTACTCCTTTCAGGACTGTCAAGCATGCCCAAAAGGGAGTTATCGGTCTGCTGCTAGTTGGCCAGCAGCGGGAGGATGCATAGCTTGTCCAGACGGCTTCACAACGCGCGGAAATGGGTCGCAGTCGCGAGCGGATTGTCAGATAACTAGCGGTCTCATTTTATCTTCCATAGTTCAATTCATTCTCTGGCTTATGAATGTCTGGGTTGCACTCGGACACATCTATCTGTTTGCGAAGCCCTTTTCGTCATCCGCAGAATCAGATGAAATAGAACAACCTACCGAAGCTAGCATAGGAGCACTAGGAGAACATAATACCATCGAGATGCCCCGATTCGCTCTACTTGCTATCTTCCTTGTTCCTGCCTATCTCAGCCTCGTAATCTGGTTAACCACAGTTGCTTTGTATCGTATCCACCTAATTTTCCTTTATAGGCGTATATGTCATCGGCAGGTTAAGTTACTCCAGAATATGCTACTTGTGGGTCAGCTTAATCTCACCAATAGACTTTACCGTCATCTAAAGATAAAATCGCAGAGCACGGTTCAGATCGAACTACTGCAAGAATCTACGGACAAAGAGAAAATAGAATAGCTAGTTGAAAAATCTGGCTCGAGATGTTATTTATGGTAGCATCAATTAAAATATTTAGCTGAGCTTAATGAAGTCTCCTTAAACAAAACTCATGTATCATATTCTGGCTAAACGTTTGGCTTGCTATCGGCAACATGAGATTCCCTACCGACTTTTTTACGAAATTACAAGGTGTTATAAATATCAATTCAGTGTTTTAAGCCGTTTATTTATTCATTATCCGAGCTTATCTAAATTGTGTAAATTATCTAACTTATCACGAAATTTTGAGACAATCTCCTTATTCCTCCTTCCCCAATATATAAAATTCAAACAGGTTTGCATTTGCTTACCCACAGATTTCAAAGTTTAAGATATTTACACTAGCTATCTAGAAAAATAGGGAAATAGTGACCTTATTGAAGATAATGTTATAATATTTTAGAAAGAATAAAAAATTACTGTTAATTCCTATAAAAAACACTAAATGGCCGATAAAGCTTAGCTTGAATCTGTTGACTTCATGAATTACATTATCGACATTTTACCTAGTATAAATATAAACAATTTAGACATAGCCCACGGAGAACGATATATTACATTATTATAATCTACTCTATTTTGGGGTTTATGGATAAATAACATGTGTTTATATCCTAAATTTTAGTTTAATCTAAATTATTAATATAGGTGAAGATATGAAGACCAAGATGTTGTGGCCT